CCAAGGATCACACAGTGATTTTGTAGTGGTTTGTTAAAAGTCTATTTGAAATTAATATATATTCATTAATCATCCTGAATGGATTTGAATATGTTAACACGGATTTATAATGAAAGAAGTGGTATCCTAATGCAACCTTAGCCTGCCCCATCTTCATCAAGGTTGCAGGTAAACAGGAACACAAAGTACGCCTGACTCATCTTGTACGAGTTTGAGCTGTGTGGGTCCAACTTATAGGCAGTTTTATTTATAATACAGTACTGTAAATATAACTTCTCTTCCTTTGAATTGTCTTAATATTTTCTTTTCTTGGGCTTCCTTGGTGGTAAGAATACCATAATAAACACCTATAACATACAAAGTATATTTTGATTGACTGATTTTCTTGTCAGTAGTAGGCTATTAAAATGACGTGTTGGGGAGTCAAACTTGTACACAGATTTTCAACTGCATGGGTGGTGGGTACACCAAACCCCTGCCTTATTCATGGGTCACTTGTACTTGTTTAAGCAGTGCGGTGCTATCACTAATAATTTTTTTTCCAGTGGCCTTAAACCTCAAATTCTTTGAACTTAATTTTCCCAAAGTTTACATATTATATCTTTTCTTCCTTTTTTAAGTGCTGGGGCATTAGGTGCTTTTAATAAGGATGCTATAGGAGTATTATTGAGAATGTAGCTGAACAGTTTCCTGATACTGCTGCCTTGCAGTCCATTTTGTATAACCAGTCTGACTACAGGGGTTTCAACTGACTCTAGCTTCACCCAATAGCAAACTAACTAAATAATAGCCCCACAGTCACAAGCAAACAGAAGTTCCTGATAGGAGTTCCCAATCATCATTTGTGTAAGAGTGCCCACTCTCAGTATATTTGCCTGTCACATCCTTTAGAGAAGGCCCCTACAGAGAGCGTCTGCCATTCTCCACTCATTTTGATGTGAATTGTGCATTCTAGACTTAGCCTAGGAGCTCCACAGCTGTCCAACCATGCACCCCAAAAAAGACATCTGTCCCAATTCCTGCCATTCCCTCTGCCTGTCATCCTTGACCTCTACATCTTGCCCCCCATGACATATTATATGCATACTCCATGGCCTATGAGTAGTCATTTATTTCTTTTTATTGATCCTTGGCCCACAGAATGATGCACAGTGGTTCTACCTAACACCTACTAACTGAACAAAGTTACTACAAATATAAGACCTCTCTACCGAACTCAATCACTATTTAAAGTCTTAACCTATGTGTTTAGTTTTTTTCCTTCTGAGGTTTCTGTGACCATGTGGAACACAGATTTTTATGGTTTTGATAGGCACAGAATGCAATATGTTATATTAAGTTAAAGAATGATTTTGGAATAACAGTACTAATTAGGAAGAAGTAGACGTGTGCATATGTGTGTACCAAACCTAGATCTTAAGAAGGAATGGGAATATTTGTTCAGATGAGGATATTCCAAGTCTCAAAATTGATGATTTCCTTACAACCAAAAATGTTACGAATTTAAAAAAAAAAAAAAAGGAATGCTTCTCTACATTGTTTGTATTGACTGTATGTGTCCTATATCTCTGTGCATCTTGGTGTGAGAATCTCCCCATGCAGATCCTGTCGTGCCTGCCTGGCTATTACTCATGTAGGATGTACTCTGTTTCCAAGTTCCAAAGTTTATAAACTGTTGCTTCTATGACTTGTGCAGTGATTTTAAGATTAGTTTGCATGAAATGACATGGTGTTCAGATGTTATTTGAATATGGCAGTAATTCTACAGGGAGTATATTAAATTCCATGTAGTTTATTTGATACATTTCCTTCCTTCTTGATTGGAGAAGAACACTGAAGAAAACTTCTTTAGATACTATTCTTTTCCCTTCTCAAGAGTGACCTCATCCAAGTTACTCCCTTTAGTGGAAGAATTTGCTGAGGTGAAAACTTGGAGAACCGTGAGTCATGGGTCGTTTTCACATTTATTTGAAAGGAACATGGACAGTGCTGAGAGTTTAGTAGATGTTCTAACTGTAGGAAGAAAACAGTATTCAATTAAGAGTGATGCTGCAGCTCAAGATAAGAGATAAAAAACATCCAGGCTGAAGCATTGGCATGAATTCTTCATGTGGGGAAGGACATCTGTTCTAGGCTGCACGAGTGACTCTGAATTATAGAAGGGTAAATTTTACTCGTTTTCTTTCCAAATCCTCTCCAGTTCTTCTGTCTCCTCATCTCCATTCCAGTGATGTAGCCATCATGATTGTTCTTTCCTCAGTTAGGGAGACTGCCCCCTCCCACAAAAGCCATGCTGGCTCTTCTTGTTTTTTAGTAGCTTAGAATTTTTAAATTTTTAAAAAGTATGCTTAATTATCAGAG